GCGAAGCTCATTTAGCCAGGATGGTGAAGAGAGGATTTGTTGGAAAAATCGTATTTCGTTTTGAGTAGGTTTTCGAGACTACCAGCAAAATCAGATATATGTGCTGAGTTCATCTTATTTCGTTTAAGGTGATGAAGGACTGAAAGTTGAATTTTTCCACAATCATATGAGTAGACCTTACATTTATAGGGAATTCCATGGTCTCGCTCTCCTAAAATGTAATCTTATCGAGGGTGGTCTGCTATTTTGACCTCGCATAGGTCTTATCAACACCCCAGTGGGAGTCGAACTGTGAAAATGCAGCATGTGAGCATGACACGTTAACCACTCAGCCACATCACATTCTTTGGTGGGATTGTCGATGAAGCAAAAGTATTTTTTATATAACAATCAACTACACTACTTAATTTTCGTACGTAAGTAGAGTTTCGAGACTACCGGTAAATCAGAAATATGAGAAGGCCTGGCCTTTCTTGAAATTAACATCCGCCCTGTGACCCAAGGGCACTCGTGGCAATGTGGCCTAGTGATTAACGTGTCAAGCTCCCATTCTGCCCTGTCACGGTTCGACTCCCGCTGTGGGTGTTGATAAGAACTAGACGAGGCTGAAACTGCATTCCACTCCAGTCGGAATGAAAACAACTTTTGGGAAAGGAAAGCTCTGTGAACCTTAATGGAAACATCAGCTCTACTCATAGGATTGTGGAAAAAATCAACGACTAGTCCGTAATCACCTTAAAGGAAATAGAATGAATACATCTGATATAATTGGTTTACTGGAAGTCTCGAAACTTTACTTGTATACGAAAGACGGTCTACTTTCATCAAGATCCTCTACAAATCATCCACACGGAAAGCTTCTTTGCTCGAAGCATTTGGAGGTAGCGGAGGGAGTCAAGCCAGCGAGCGGTGGGTGGAGCAAGGTCCGTGTGCTCTGTTCCCCGAACCAGGCCATGTTGTGGCACATTCAACACACCAAATCGCCACCGAATGGGTGGCTGAGAAGCGAGTCCCGTGGGCGCATGCTTGCCCATGCACAGGAAAGTGGCATGACGACCCCGTTGTCAAGGCGACTCTAGCAAGAATGGGGTAACAACAGGCAAGAAGAGACAAGTCAGGCTCACTTACTGCGTCAATCACGCTTGCATGTTTGTCTACGGCGAGCAGCAGCTCGTGTCCCCAGCCCTCGACGGTGGCCTCATCAAGCACCGTTTGTGTCTGGGCTCGGCCGCCACATGCGCCCGTGGACGTCGATGCTGCGGCACTGTTCCTTTCGGTATCGGTCCGAGGTGGCCAATCAGTGCCATTTGGTCGCCCTGGCAACGGCTGACACGAAAGGGCCAAATGAAGACGAGCCAGCAGGTTGCAGATCTCTTGCAGGGCAGAGACGAGGTGGTTGAGGCGACAGAATCGAGCCACTGTCGCCAACTGAGGAGGGGCCGTGTGCAGGTCGATCTGGTGGGCAAAAATGCATGCATGCGATTATGGAGCTGGCGACTGGCAGACCTTCAATGAATGCTCTTCACGGCGTCATGCAAGCCGTCGGATTTGAGCCCCGATTGTGCCTCGTTCAAGCAGGATTCGAGCAAGCCATGCGTCAAGTCGTCGAACTGGGCGTCGACGCGTTTGTGCACT